GGAGATCTTACACACCTGAAACAGTGCTTTGGGGGCGTCTCAGGACAGCTTTTCAGGACTTGGAGAGTCAGGGAGTCAGGCCATGACTTAGAGATGTCACTCTGAAGAAAAGAAAGGAGTCCATCAACTAATGTAAAGAGCCCTGTCTCCAGATTTATAGTCTGTTTATACCTCTCCCTTTATCCTTAAACTCACCTTTCTCAGACTAAATGTTGCCCTTGTAACTCCTTTTCTCCTTTTACGTAGTCCAAGGTTTTCATTTAAACCCAATTTCTACGTTATCAAGACATATGAGTTGGGACGACAGGGCACATCGAAGTATATTTTTACTTTGGATTCTGCATGTGCCTAAGGACTGGCCAGAAAGGAAAGCAACAAAATCCATCGTGGGCCAGGTTTTTAGCTGGGGTCTATGCTATTGCATTTACAGCAGCCCTAGGGGTAGATATTAGTGTTTTTATGGTACTCATGAGAGGCCTCTTTCAGCTCTGCAACTGCTGCACCTGGGGCTCTAATCTAAGCCTGAAGCCGGGCCTCTTCCAAATTTGCAGCATCACTTTTTATAGGTTCCTGAACCCTAAAGATATTTCAAGTTCGTCTCTATGATTTAAGCATAGTGAAAATGGTTATTTTATAGTCTGTCTGACAATTCTAACAACTGAGATCTTTGTGGGTTTGTTTCTGTTGTCTGTTGGTTCTGGTGATTTTTTTTTTTTTTTTTGTCTTCGTTTTTCCATGTCTCTCTTGTTCCTTTGGTTAAATGTTGATGATTATACTTAAAAATATTTGTAATAATAATTGGAGGTTGAGAATATAGGTATCTCTCTTCAGAAAGAATTTGAACGTGCATCTTCCAGGCACTTGGGGTACACTACCAGTCTGGGATCACCTCAATTCAAAATCCAGACTTTATGGTTTCTGAATTACAAGGTGGCTCAAGACTTTCCAGTGACTGGTTTGCTTCTGGCTCACTCTTATCCTGATGGTTAAGTCTTTGGGGATCTTCTGTGTGTGACATCTCAGACTAGGTTTCCCACCTGCTGTGACTCTGAGCTTTGACATCTGTCCTTAGCCCAGAAAAGAGAAAAAGTTTCTGATTTCCCAAGATTGGAAAATTCCATCAGAGGAGAGTAACTGCCATGTCTACCAATCTCAATGCCCACTTTCTGCTTTGGCCTGGTAATTCCCTTCTAATTTGTCAACTTTCCACTGTTTCCAAGGTTTGTTTTTAAGATTTTATCCAGCATATTTACCCATTTTAATTAGGAGGGTTTGCTCAAATAATGCAGCCTGTCATTACCTAAACACAGAAATCTAAAGGCTGTATTTTTTCTTCTTACTCTTCCCTGGGGCTTTGTCTCACTTGTTTTTCTTCTTTGAGATCTGCTACCTTTTACACAGTCCTGAACCTCTCCATTGGTTCTTATGGCACCTTGGGTCTATGGATTAGTGGTTTGTTTGATAGCTTGATAGTTGTGCCACATTCGTGGATCTCTTATATAAGTCCCAGGCAGTCTTGAAAACAAGGTTATCTCTGTTTGAAACCTGGGGGGTATAAATCCAACTGAGGCCAGATCCCCAATTTCTAGTCTTTTGTAATGTGACAAACACAAATATGATCATGGCACTTCATAAACCAGTAATCTGAGAAGATTCTGCCCAGTACTATGAAATAATGAGCTTCTAAAATAAGTGTGTGTGTGTGTGTGTGTGTGTGTGTGTTATAGAATTTGGTTTTGCCCTAAAAGTGGATTGGCCTTTGCTCCCAGCTTCTGGGAAGAAATCTGTGTCATAGCTGACAGATGTCTATGTTAGGGTGGGTGCTGGTCACACCAGAAAGACCAATCATGTGATTGAGGCTGTGGGCTTTGGGTCACACAGTGTCACTTGACCTGGAGACTGAGTTTATTCACATTGGCAGTCAATCATTCATGCTAGTGTAATGAAGTCCCAGTAAAAGCTCTGGACACTGAAGCTCAGATGAGCTTCCCTAGTCAGCATTACTCTGTGTATACGTGTCCTTACTGGGTGGGTAACTTTTCCTGACTCCTACGGGAGAGGACAACGGAAGCTTCATGTTTAGAACCCATCAGACTCTGCCCTATGTGTCCCTTCCTTTGGCTGATGTTAATCTGTATCTATCTATGAAATAAACCTTAACTGTGTGAATAATAAATTTCGGTGAGTTATCTGGATACTTATAGAAATCATTGAAACTAAAAGTGGTTTCAGAACCCCTTGAACTTGCACTTTCTCTCAGAAATGAGGGCAGTCTAGTGGAAGATGGTGACCTCAACCTTTTGTTTTGCTAACATGACCGTGTGTGTGTGTGTGTGTGTGATATAACACTGGCATGGGGTTCTTTAATTAGAACAACCCGACTAAAGCTAAAACATATTAGCAAGGATTAGATACTTTTCTTTTTGCATCCCTATATTCAACCTGCTGACTGTGAGACCCTTCCCACTGGCCACCACCAACTCTGACTCTGTGATGGGTGTCATTTTTGTCCCAGAGTGCATTGTGCCTTTCCACAGTTCCTGTCAGTTTGTGTTTACTCTGCCTCCAAATCTGGGTCAAGAAAGAAAGTGAGTCTATGGCCATGCCACCCAGAACAAGCCCAAACCCATCTGATCTCGGAAGCTAAGCAGGGTCGGACCTGGTTAGTACTTGGATGGGAGACCACCTAGGAAGACCAGGGGCTGTAGGCGTAAAAAATAAAAAAAATAAGGAATTGTAAGCTGACAAGGTCCTTGCAATCTGTGAGGTCAACCAAGGGTTATCTCGCCTAAAAAATAAATAAATAAAAATAAAAGAAAGTAAGTGAACCCACAGAAGTATTTTTTTCCCCACTAAGAGTTGGGACCTCATAAATCATGGTGACAAGAAATGTGACGA